AGTTATAAGGTAATACCACTGTACCCATCATCACTGTCAAGCAGCTGGAGACAAACCCCTCCCAACACAATAAACCCCGAAAGGTCAGAAGCAGTAGTGCGACTGAACAAAGGCAGTATGATCATCCATAGGAGGCACCTAAAAATGAAAAATGAACATCTATGTTGGGGTAGACACTGTAGTTGTTGCAGTATCTGATGAAAGCGCTCAGCTTATGAGACAGAAGGTCATGCCAGAGACACAACAGAGACGGAACTAGATATATAAGGGAACTGCTATGAGGCAACAAGTAACTCTGCTTTGTCTCATATAACTGATTTGAACAACACACATCTAAGCAGCAGGATCAATTCTGTATCACCTTCTGGACATCCTGTATGAAAACAAGGGCAAAACAACCCAAAGCAGAATTTATCGGTGAACAGCTCAAGGCTGCAGTGATCTTAAGCTAAACACACCATGTGTCTCTTTGTCTGTACTTTGGACTCTGGCTGTTGTGGCCATCTTTCAACTGCAAAAGAGGAAAGAAACAGCAAGAAACCAAAAGACCCTAACCTTGAAATGAGAGCAGCAGACAACCTTAAAGATAACCATCCCTCACAGAGATAGCGTGACAAATGCCATAGTACCTTAATTTCACTGCACACACAAAAAGGACAGTTATCAAAATGATCCTGTGTACAATGGTCCCATTTAGGAGCTACTAAAATGTTCTTTGATATCAACTATCAGAAAAAGATAACAAGCTGATGTTAAGACATACTGCAGCATTGGCTCTGGCCTCAACAATCGTGTCTCTTGCTTTTAGCTCTTACCCACCTGACACAGGAGAAAGTAGGAGAAAAAGATAAGACGCATGACAAGATGCAAGGACAGTCATGCAGGGCCAGCAGCTGATAAAGTCAAACAGGAGGTCATCAACCATCAAAACAACTGCTGTAATCTAGCCTCCTCACGAGCAGGGGTGAATGAGTCATAGGACAGGACTCAGGTAAGTATATCAGGATGTACAGACAAGAGACAAATGAAAGAAAAACCTGAATGCTTGCCCCTACAGTGAAGGAATCCAGAGGCTCTGTTATACTGTGTGGGGCATTTGGCTGGTATGGTTTGAATCCATTTATCTCCTCTGAGAGAAGGGTCACTGCAAATCAATAAAAGGTTGTTTTGAGTGATCACCATTAACCATTTCTATCCTGATGGGATTAGTCTCTTACAGGATGACAGTGCCCCATCCACAGGGCACAAGGGGTCACTGAATGGTTTGATGAGTAAGAAAATGATGTAAATCAAATACTGTGGTCTTCACAGTCACCTGATCTCAAATCAGATGAACACCTACAAGAGACGTTGGGACCAACGTGTTAGCATCTCCACCACCATCATCAAAACACCACATGAGAGAATTTGGAAGAATGGTGTTCATTCTCCCAGTAGAGTTCAGACACTGAGGTGTACTGGCAATGGGCAAGGTGTACTGAAGTTGTTCTGGTGGCACATGGTGTGCTGGTTGGGTTATGTTGGCTTTTCCTTTAATTTGTCACCAGTCTGTGTGTTCCTGCAGCTGACTGCATGAATGAGTCCACCCTACCACAGCGAAAACTGTCTACAAGCACAGTGACAGGCAAAGTTCCAGCCAGGCTGGATGGAGCTCAGCTCATTTCAGCCCCATGTTAAATGGATTTGACTTTGTTAGCATAATTCCATGTCCTCCACCTATCCACCAGGGTTTCAGCCTCTTATCGAATCAAACAACGTGACCTACCATTGAGAAGCCCCAAGACATGCATGCATATGTCAAACGCACATGCTCTGTCAGCTGTGATAGCAAGTTCTCCCCACCAGCAATGACACCTCATCTTGTTTCTGAGCACATCCTATACACGACTAAAAATAAAAATAGGTTAACTGCATGACACCTGTTGCTATGATTAGACTGGGGAAGTAGCCAAGGGTCAGGTTTGTGCAACTGGAGTCAGAGTGCAGACAGCAGCGGGTGGTCCGAGGCAGGCCGGCTACACCTCAGTCAATCATGATGTTACAGCCACACCATAAACCCTCTGCCATAAAAAGAGCATGCTTAAAGTGTGAGAGCTGTGTAAAGATAGTTGAAAGATAGGGTGCGAAGGCCATACTCTCTAGGGCTGTACCCGACTAAGGATTTTGTCAGTCGACTGTCAGTCAGCTCTTCTGTCCGACTATACAACTATTTGTTCTTTTCTTTCTTTATTTACATATATACTAGACTGTCAGAAAATCAACTGGCATGAATTTCAATGATGATTTTGACCACATTATCCTCTGTATTTAAATGGAAAAGAGTGAGAGGAACATATTTCTGAGAATTTAAAAATCAATAAAGACAGCTGCCATATGATGCCAGATTTAAATTGCAACCTATTTAAACTGACAGTATAATAACGAGAAAGGCAGCACACTTGTATTTCTGTTGAAGCAATGCTTGAATGGATGCATGCCACAGAAAGAGCTGGTAAACGGCTGTGCATTGCACTTTAAAGGAGAAGGGTAAACAAACTAGACTCATAACATTAAGCAAAACCAGCCACAGACAGGCTGTAGACCATGATGTTTGAAAACACCTCCAATAAAGTACAAATTTCACCTGTATTTGTCTTGTCATAGTGGGTTTGTTGTTTTTTCTCCTCATTCTGCAGTTTGCTAAATAGATCTGACCTTAATGTACATCAATTACATGCCTCAGACAGTGACACCACTAAAGCGGGTAATACCCCCCCGCCCACAGGGTGAAGTATTGAACAAACTGCTGCTTGGCACACCAAAATGAGGAGAAGAGGATGACAAACTACTTGCTATTCTAATGCACACTGGCTGACAAAAAATAAAATATAATAAAATAAAAACAAAGGCTCAACTAGAAGAGTTTCAGTCGACTGACAGGTCTTGTGGCTGATGACTTTATTAGGGGGCAGCCCTAATATTCTCCAACTCTATCATCTACAGGAACCATGATGGTACCACTTGTACAGTTGAGTTGGATGGTATGCCTTTCAGTTCTTAAATTTTTACCCAGCTCGACTACAACACCAACCAAAATCAAAGGCATGTTGGCTGTAGAAACCCCTGATATTCTGTTCCACAGCTAACCCAGAACGCCCCTTATAACCCATTAGAACAGAAGCAAAACCAAACAAAAAACCCAGACCATGTACTTACTATTGTTTCTTTACTTGAACATCTGACTTTACTCTGAAATAAAACAAAAAGAGCAAGATGATTTAGATTTATACTTATATTTCATCACGGTCACTGTGTGTGTGAAAATGTGAAGTCTACAGTCTCTTACCTGCAGTCACACTTTTGATGCTCTGTGAAACTTAAGTCAGTAATACGTTGTATTACCAATGGTCTAAACAGCATTACCTTGAAGTGAAACAGAGGACATAACATGGCAAAATTTAGATTATAACAACATCAGCAGAGACTTTTGGTAACCCAGAGTCTAAACACCACAGCCATGACTGCTATCTAAATAAACAGCTTAAAGACCAGACCTGTCTATGTCACTATACATCCCTCTGTATACTTCTCCAGCATACATTGGTGCTAGTCAGCAGGCCCTGTTGATGGCCAGGATGGGTTTTGACCTGACTTTGCTGTAGTCAGACATGTGGTGAATGTCAGAAAAACGTGAACTGAACTGATCTGATTTGAATCTGAATTGAATGTATCAATAAAAGGCTTGGACACTGAACAGGTTCAATAGGCAAAATTGCATGGTGTTACACTTGATGGGCAACTATCATGGAAGAAACATACTTGAAATATTGGTGAGAAAATGTGTAAAGGAACAGCAATCTTTAGAAGATGCTCCTGCTTTCCTTCCCTGGCCTTCTAGGGTGTTAGCAACATAGACTTTAGCCCCACCTCGCCTTGACTACTGCTCAGCAGTTTTTTCAGGTGCTGCGAACAAAGCATTATCTAAGCTTCAAATAGCTCAAAATAAAGCTGCAAGGCTCACACTGTCCTGTCCATTAGCAGTGAGGCAAGGTACAGAGGAAATGCATGGCAGTCCCTCACAGCTCAGAGTAAATGATAGGTTGGCATGAAATCTTTTGAGCTCCTGTAAGAACATGATTTACATCAGTAAACAATTGAACTGTTTGCGCTCACAAATAAATTATGCAAGAGATCAACATTATTACAGATAGCAGGTGGGCTACTAGGGGCTGTTTGGTTAAAGAGAAACCTAGAACAGATGTCAGGCGCAGATCTGTAATGTATAGCACCATCATAATGTGGAATAAAGTAAGTTACCATTTGTGATTACTGAAGCACCCAGTAAGGCAAGTTTTAAAAGGCTAGTGAAAAAACATTAAAAATGACTAACATAGCTGAATGACCAGATGGAATGTAACTGGATGTTGTACTTTAGTTTTTAGTTGATTTTACTGATGTGAATATGTTTTATTGAGATTTGTGTACGTGTTAAATGTTATGTTTTGTTGTGTATGGACCCCAGGAAAAGTAGCTGTTACCCTGATGAAAGCTAATCGGGATCTGAACAAACACTATAAACAACATATCTGAAATGCCACGCCTAACTGTGCCACTTTGCTCCGCTTCTGGACAGAAAGGTTTTGTCAGTCTAGACGTGTACCGAGTGCAGCCCTGACAACCCCATCCATCAATCATGTCTTAAGAATTACACATAAGGGCCACTTTTTCTGGAGCTCTCAATACATCTCATGGTCTTCATTGGTGGCTGGGGCTTTTAGAGGCTGACTCAGTTGTAATGTGACCTAGAAAAATTCAGTCACATTACTGCATCAAACTTAGTTCACGTGATGACAAACTCAATACATGAATGAAGACCAGTGAAAGTCGTGGAAAAAGGTACTAAGTGATTAATTGCTAGGTGGTGGCCTGTGAATGATTTGTGTTTTTTTTCATCAGTTAATTTCAACAAAGGGACAGTTTCATGAACCCTGGTCCCCTCCCAGTCTCACCTGCAATGTCACGTTGCGGGTTTCTGTGGGTACACACTCCATTGCCTCATCATTGCAGCAACCTCCACAGCGGCTGAGGACCACACAGGAAGGGATGTAATTGTGCTCCGTGTCCTCTGGATACTCCTGGATGATGTCCACAAGCACCTCCCTGGGCTGACACATACTCTTGATGAGGACTTCTGTGAGAGGGATGACTAAAAAAAAAAACAAAAAAAAAACAAACAACACATACACACACAAGAGATTGATCATATTTTTGTCATCATCCTCATTGCTATTATCATTTTTATCACCAGTGAAAAAGGTGATGAGAAAAGCTTCATGTAATAATGGATACTTATCCAGCCCATCTTTTTCAAAGTTAAGCTCTCACTGTAGTTTTTAGTGCCAAAGAAGAGGACACTTGCTCATCTTTAGGAAGGCCACAGCCATTTCCTTCTTATCCTAAGTGCCCAATCACAAGATAAGCTTGCCAAGCAAACGGTGACACAAGCTGGTGTTGTATGAGAAGAAACGACACATTTTGTGTCAATGACAATCTGAACAGTTCTCAAAAAACTAAATAAGTCTGTCCTTTAACTACACTAACCGCCTTGACCTGTTCACCTTGAGTTGTTGTGGAGAACCAACATTTTACCATATGGATGTGTGACCTTGGAATAAAACTGTATCTATACAGAATCATCAAGTAGTACCTGAAGATCAAAAACACAAAGCTGATAAATGAGTTTTGATGACAGATTGAATACCAAGATGAAGGCTTAAAGGATGCGCCTGCCCTCTCTGTAGTTCCATTGCTTGTGCAGCCCAGATAATCCCTCCCACAGTCCACCAGACAGAGTTCCCAGTAAGCCCTGGTTAACTCCTGACCCCTGGTTAGTCAGAGCAGCCGTGACCTCAGGCACTGTGGCGCCAGGCTTCACCTCTGACATGTGACCCCAGGAAGCCCACCCTTGTGGAGGCTTGAGCTCAGGGCTAATGCTACAGGATAAACGTGTGCTAGATACAGTAGCTTTAAGATTAGAGTTTTATAATTCTACAAATAATACATAGATAAATCCCTGAGAATTTCATTTGAAGGGGGGCAGTGGCAGCCTGGTGAAAGAAATCTCTATATATGAACTTTTAAATTTGAGAATTTCAAGACACTTAGTGTGAACATTTGCTGTAAGTTCCAGCAGCATAAAATTTAAGGCCACTGGCCACTGAAATACAAAGTTGAGTTTCTTTAGACACTGACCACCGCGTAAAAAAGAAGGAGGTGGGGGGGAGCTGGGATAACAGTGCGTGGCCTCAGACAATCTCATCAGGAGTCATTAACATCTTTGTTAACAGACATTAACCTGTGCTGTTCACATACGCTACTGAGGGGAACAGCTCTAGAAGGTGACATGAGAACTGTCACAGATTGTGTAAGGAATGAAAAAGAAGCACTAGACAAGAGTTGTGCATCTACCCAATCATGTTGTGAAATAGATGTGAATGTGGGATCCTTGGCTTGGAAAATGCCAAAAGACAATCACAACATCATACAACTTGTGCTCATACAGGCGGGGGCAAACACGTGCTCACATTCTGAGTTTCTACTTTCTTTTCAAAATCTGGGGTGGTGTCATTGGAATTCTGTGGGCGCAGATTCTGTCTGGGCCTGGATATTACATATAGAAACAATAACAATAAAAGGCTGACTGTGGTCAGATGGAAGCTCCATCGCATCAAAGGAGGGTCTCACCGAAAGGACCATGTGCTTTTTTTTAAACAAAAACTCCATTTGCAGCACCATGTAGCCTGTCACTCCAGCTCTGTGATGAATGACTGCGATTTTGGCTCCAGGGTTTACAAGCAAACATGAGTAGCTAAAACACTAGCACCTTCTCCAGGACAGAGAGCTGCTGGAGAGACTGGCTGGGTGGGTCTGGTCGAGGAGACTGTCAATAGACACCAGCCTTATGCCCACACACTCATCTAACCAAGGTTACTTGCAGGGACCCTTTAATAGACTAAACTGGTGATACTCCATGTTCCTTATCGTCACCAAATCTAATAGCAAGATCCAAAAATACAGTGACCAGCTGTTTAAACATAGGATAAAACAGTAAGATAAATTTGGTGTCAAGCTGAGAGACATGAATGGGGAAGTCAGAAAATGTTGGGAGATACACAGTTTTGATGTTTTGTGGCACCAGTTTTTGTTGGTGAAAATTTGTTAACCTCCATCACGGCTGAGGTGTATTTAACAAGTCATATCAATAATTACAGGCAGGAGAAATCAGGTGGTGGTGTGACCTCTGAAAGTGTGTGTGTGTGTGTGTGTGTGTGCGCGCATGTAGGTCTGCAACATGCAGACTTCCTGTTGCTCTACAAACTTGTGCACCCCTCACCAACCAGCAGTACTAAGTGTCACTGTCAAACAAACATGGGTTTAGCACTTAAACCAAGGTTGACTGTCAGCTGATGTATTGACTGGGTTTACCCACAGACAAAACACACAAAAACAAAAGGTCACCACTGTGAATCATGAAGGCTGTGACTAATTTCTACCTTTCTTTCACATCAACTCTTATTTTGAAATCTACACCACTTTTATGGTGGCTCCAAAGTTCCACGTGAGACCTTTCACTACTGTGGACTTTGATTTCAGTCTATGAAAAAAAAAATAAATAGATAAAAATAAAATACTAAATAAAAAGAAATACCCTCTACAGCCAACAAAGCTTCAAACTAATGAAGTCTGAGGAAGAGTGGGCTCAAACGTTCACACGTCCACTTATAGTTATCTGGCCTGCAGAGGAATCAAATAAAACAGTCCTGTTAGACGACTTACCCTCATTTTTACTCTTCTCCACTCCCTTGTTAATGCTGACAGTCTGTAAGAGATGCAGATCAAACCAGGTGTTAAATAGTTCTCATCTGCATGTTCGTTCCCCCCAACACCCGAACATGTGATTTGTACAACTAATCCAGATCAGCCTGGTTAACATTTATTGTACACATCATAGTACATAACAATATAAATCGCTTTTGTTGTTTTCTTTTGTTATAACACTAAAAGATAATGCACGGCGCGGCCAAATCACAGTGGTGACACCATATAGGATACAAGTCATGATCATAAGGAGCGATATCAGAATGAAGGTGTCAAACACTTAAAACCTGGTTGTTTTGCGACTCTGTTGCTGCTCGTTAACAAATGCCGTCAGACGAACCCTTCAAAATAAAAGCGCTGCTGCCTGATGTGCCGATTGGCCAAATTGAATAGTAATTAAATATTAGCCAAATTGAATATTAAATAGAAATTCTACACACCCACTTGAAAATTAAAAGGTCTGGCCTGTCCGCTCAGAATAAATTAAATGCTTACATGTTTTAACAGCCTAGTTTGAAGAATATTAATACACGGGGCTGTCATACAGTCGTAGAATATTGCAATAACTGGTCATGGCAATGATAGGTGCCTCACAATACCTACATGTAACACAGGTCTCCACACCTGATGTCTACAGCATGTGAAAGGAGTGCAGTGATATTCTATACATGTCACTTCCACTTCTGGGAATTTCTTTAAAGTCACTAAAGAGTCGCTTGTGTTTAAAACGGATTTATTGGAAATCTTTCACTTCGAAGCATCATAGCTAAATTTTATTTTGAAAGACAAGAATCGGCCCGTTTGATCGTAGAGAGGGAACGTGACGGTTTCCTGGGCTATCTCAGTTCACCTTGTGTGGCTGCTGTAACTGGCGGAGATATTGCGTGAGAAAGCTGATCGGCCTATGTGAGAACGAGGTGGGCATCCTGCAGGGCGGCGGGGCAGGAGCAAGCGGATCTCCGCTTCCACATACACCGGGTTCACCGTGAGAAGGGAAAGAAACCCCAGAGGGGGACTGAGGCTCAGAGTGACGTTGCAAAGTTCAAACTACGTTCAGCGCTCATGAAAGCGCGTCAGCCAGAACTCCATTCATAAACATCTCAATTTAATACAAACTCTCCGAAAATATGGGGCTGCCAACAGAGTTACACCAATGCTTTTAAATACAAACAGAAAATAAAATGCTGATAGTTTATCAGGAAAGCTAGGACAAGCTATTTATCGGACGAAATTTTATAGTACAAGTACATTTGTCCACGTCACATTTTCAGCCAACATTACCATTGCATGTTTATTCAATTAATTGTCAGCGCAGTTTTTGTGCACCACATGTAGGCTAATAAATATGATGGTGTCCTCAAGTCGAAAATAAACGGCCAGAAAGCGCTTTAGTAGGTATTAAAGGCACGTACGACAGTGATCACATGTTCCTGTTTAATTACTAATAAATGCATGTGAAATCACACACTCACCTTTACAGTGGATAGGTGAAGAACCGCTGCCAAAAGGATTTGTAACAAACTAAAAATAAAGTTCATGGTTGTAATTCCGCATGAAATCGCAGCGGTCGTTCAAGACTGATAAAAATCAAATATCAGCGAAGCAACAGACACACTGTCAAAAAATTTAAAAAGAACTAACACGGCAAATCTTGGCTATAGCCAAAGCAAATCCATATCTTCTTCCGCACACATGGAGCACGCACACACTAACGCTTTCAGTGTCTCCCCGCAGTGCTCCGTGGGAAACGTTACATCCAACAAGCGTCGCTCATCCACAGACAAAGGCACTATGATGGATTCTAAAATCCACGCTGGAACCGGAACCTCAGGAATACAGCAATCCCCACAAATCGACACTGATCGTTTTCTCAGTGGAAGCGAGGAATGGACAGATCAGCTCACCAACTTTACGCACCGGTTATCTCTTTTTAAAGTCCCTGATCCCGCAGCTTGTGTGGGGGTAACAGCAGGCACTGTTGGTCGGTATGAAGTGGTCGTCTTGCTTTCTTCCACAAACCTCCCTTCGTGTTCCTAATTTATTGTCCGCTCTGTACTGTGCCTCGGCTGCTCTTCTCTATATAACGCTTGTTGGGAGACATAGACAGCAGCGTCCCCCGGTTCAGTAGCAGTACCAGCCTCTCTGCGCTGTATCTCCTCTCGGCTGCGCGGCTAGGGCTCCTGCGTTATAAGGTCGCCGGCATGGCATCGGAAACCAACCGGTTTGTGCTGGGGGCGGAGCTGAATGGCTAGGAGAGGCCTCCTCTGGACGCACAGGCGCAACACTGTTCATTGATGACAAAGTTTCAATGAAGCCTGTGAGGCTGGTAGCGATGTATAACACAGCACGACTATTTATTTAGTCGTACTTATTTACAGGCCCGGCCCTAACCAATTTGACGCCCTAGGCAAGATTTCAGGCGGCGCCCCGTTGCATCGCAGTAAATTCCACTGTTAGTGTATATACTCATAGGAAACGTAATAGCTTTGTCTTGGACATTCTTTTATTTAAATAAAGCAATTGCACATTCAAAATACTTAGAAAGAATTAAAGAAACAAATACAAAAAAATGAACTGAACATATGAAATACAATATAAATAGCTTACATAAAGTACCTATTAATACTCCCAAAATAAAAAGTGTAAACAAGTGACATTAACTTAAAAATACAATATAAATACGGCACTGTGCAAAATAAGATATTAAAGAAACG